GACTTTTTTTTATAAGTATTTAAAGTTCAAATTTTGACTAAATACGTAAAAATTATGGCAATGTTCAAATTATCTTACATCAAACCAAAATTGATTTTGTCGAAAAGTGATTGTGCGTAAAATTTTCCGTTTTTCTCATAATTTTTAGTTTGTTTATCCCGATTATTTAGAAAAATATAGAGAATGTTTTACTTTTGACTCCCCAAAGTACCAATTATATTCACTTTCTGATCAAACGAGGTATTGAAGTCGAAAATCGAAGTACTTTTACTGCACCAAAACGTGACAACAGGCACAAAAAAAAGACATAGTAAAATCAATACATTTCTCGCTCCRCTCAGAGTCTAAAATGTACAACTATTATTCACTTAATTTAGTAAAGAATAGAAAAAAAATATTAATAATAAAATGAGACAATATATTTTGTAGCTACAGACGCTTATCTTGAACTTTGGATTTTAAAATGTACTATTTGATTTTAGTGCGGGCCACATTAAATTTATTAAAGAGCCGCAAGTGTTCCGTGGGCTTCGTAGTGGGAACCGCTGCTATAAAGAATATACAAACATTTATTTATATACAATAATATACATTATAATATATCTAATTATTGGACTGTGTAGTGTGTAGACTGTACGGGCGATAACATAAATKACAAACAATATATATAGGTATATATACATGTATAATAGGTAGCAATTGATTTAAGTATTTGAGAAGGGGAAATAACTTTATTTTTGTTAGTCTATCAGCATTATGTCATAGCGATTGCGGCAGCGGCATTGTAATGAACAATATTCCAGTTGTTTTATGAATAGGTACCTACGAGGTACGCGAGGTTGTTGTGTTTTTAGCTTTTTACGTTTGTTGCAGTGTTTTGAAAAAAACGACCAAAGCAAATAATATTACTTAANAATGTAACCTCAATTATTGTGATTATTTAATTTATGAAATAGAAAGCAATCTAGTTGATAGAAATATACAGTACCTACATTAGTTGACTTGTAATTTTATTTTTAAATTGTTTTTTATCTACAATTTTGTAATAGTCACTGGTTATATTAGATTCTGAGCGGAGCGATGAATGTATTGATTTTACCATCATGTGTGTTTATTTTTAAATTTTTTTTTGTKTCTGTCACGACGTTTCGAGGCAGTAAAAGTGCTTCGATTTTTGACTTCAGTACCTCGTTCGATCAGAATCTAGTTGGTACTTTGGGGGGAGGGGGGCAAAGTGAAAAATTCTCAATACTTTTCTAAAGAATCGAGAAAAACAAACTAAAGATTAAGGGAAAAACGAGAAATTTTACGCAAACACATTTTTCGACAAAATCGATTTTGGTTTTTGATGTAACTTTAAAACAAATGACCATAGATACATGAAATTTTCACCGAATGTTTATATAAGTATATTCTATCCACCATTCAATTTTCAAAAAAATTTTCGACTTAAGTTGAACTATTCATAGGCATTTGAAATTTTCTATCATTATTAGTTTTAGATTCTGAACGAAGTGATGAATGTATTGATTTTACAATGATGTGTGTTTTTTTTTGTGTCTGTKTACAGCATAACTAGTCGAAATAATGCTTCGATTTCAAACATTGGGGGTGGTTTCCGATGTAAAAGTGAATATCCTTGGCATATAGGCGTGCGCAGGGGGTATGCAGGGTATGCAGCTGCATACCMTGAAGTTCTGTGAGGGGCGAACATCGACTTTGGAAAATTGAAACATACATTTATCAGTTATCAACTACCAAGTATTTGTGAAATACATACTTCTTGTATTGTGTAATGGTATTTATTACAATCGTTTTTTAATTAAACAGTAGGTTTTTTAATATTTATGAATTGTGTAGGTATACATATTATCAGAATTTTACGAGCTTAAAATAACTTTCAGGGCGCGCTATTGTCAGTCTTCTGCATATCCTGAAAAAGAGGCCTGCGCAGGCCTATGATCCTTGGTGCATTATACAGGTCAAAAGTAAACATTTTCCAACAGTTTTCAAAAAAATCGAGAAAAACAAAAAAAAAATGACAGCAAAACGGGAATTTTTACGCAAAACCAGTTATCGACAAAATCGATTTTTTTTTATGGTTATAATTTAAAAAATAATCACT